CCCGTAACGCGCGCTGACAACACACCCGCGCTAATCAGCTCTACAGGGCTTCGTCGTGTCGGAGATGGGATGATGTGCCACGGTGAGAACTCTCCCGACTATAGGGCCGAAACATTTCGCCCGTCATATGTGTAGGCGCGGACTCGCGCCGGTTGCAGGTGTCGTCTGAATGCCGTTGGACGCTGCGCCGAAGTCGGATGATCATAGCGAAGTCGATGCCAAGCTCGGGGCAGGCCGTCGTTCAGCAGCGCCGGAACAGCCCGAGTGGCTGCGCGCGGTATCCGCCGGGTGATGCCCCACCAGATGGTGCGACGCATGCGATTGTGGCTGGCACGCTCAGCTCGGGGGCCGGTTACCAACCTTTATTCCCGGACGCGCCGAGGAAGAGCGCCGGATATGATCGACCGCTCAGGCTTCGCAGCAGCCGCTTCGCTCAGAGTGAGCTTCCGGAGACCCAGGTGGAAGGAGACGGAACCGGCTCGATCCTAGTGGCCGTCCGCCGTCGATGCACCGGTTGCTCACGCCCGTCGTGTTACCGTATGCTTGATTCTCCATGGTCGCGCTCCTGGCGCAGGAGTTTCCCTGACCGGGCGTCATGATAAAATTAAACGTATCACTCTTGCCGGCACTCAGGGTATGGCCGCGGTCGTTCGGACACCGTGACGGACCCATCCGCGACGCGTGCAGCGTGCCGTCACCGCGGCGTGCACGAGCTCCGCCTGCCAGTACAAAAGGCCGCCGCTCGCCATGATTCGTCCGGGTCCGCGGCCGCTGACGGACAATGCCCTCAAGGGCCGCCCGGGCGCCCAGATACGAGGGGCGATTCCAACCCCTCGGCGATCTTCGTGCACGCGCCACGCAGCGCGTCCAGCTCCCGCGGGTCGAAGGGCGTCGGTTTAGCGGCACTCAGGCGAAATCTCGGGCCATCCTCCGCGGCGTCATGGCCGCGGCCCGGTCAAGCGCGTTGCTTGAGGCTCTCCGGCGTGAGCCGACGATGTCGCGAGGCAGTTTCGGTCCATGGTCCAAGGGTTCACCGGAATGGGACTCCGGCCCTTCGATCAGTTCCACACATCTTCTGTTCTGGAGAACCGTGAAGGAGGCCGGTCGGCGCGGCGGGCGACATGTCGCGCCAGAGCCAGAGTTCTCGAAGATAGGCCAGTTGGCGTTGAGTCAGCGGCCCGCCCCGCCCCTTGATTCGCCAAGCCTCCTCGGGATCGCGTGCACGATCGCGGGCCGTGTTGGCTCCACCACCGCGCGGCAACTCTCCGGTGCCGACTCGCAACCGTCCGCGCTCGCGCAACTCGCCGCGCAGGCAGTCGGAGAGCTCACTCCAGATAGCGCGTGTCGTTGACCGCGTAGCGCAACTGCGTTGAGCGGCCGGTGCGACCAGTCGGACTTCTGCGAGCCCTTTTCGATGGTGCCTTCAAGGAACTGCTGGATCAGGGCGGCAAGCCCGATCTGCTCGATGCCCAGCAATTGGGCCGCGATCATGGTGTCGAACACCTCACCGCGCGGCCTGAAGTCCTTCCAGGCGCGCATACAGGCGTCAGGTCGTAGTCGGCCGTGCAGGACAGCGCTTGTCCCCCCAGGACCTCGATAAGAAGACCGTCATCTCCAGCATCGGAGAGAGGGTCCACGACGAAGTGCCCGCCCTCGACCGAGAGCTGATCAGGCACACCTTCTCGAAGTAGTTGTGCAGGATGTCCGGCCTCGGTATCCAGCGCCAACGATTCATGCTCCCGGATGCTGTGAATCAGCCGTTCCAGGGTCGCGGCGTCGCGGACAGAGAGTAGTCGTCGGGATGATGATCGACATCAGGACCGCGGCTCATCGTCGGGCGATGCCCGACAGCACGACAGTAGCACGGTTCGGGGAACAGGAGGCATGACAGCGCCAGAAGTCTCTAACCGGACGGCGTCGGCGAGTTTATTGAATCCGACTCGAACTCGTCCGCGATCAACCAGCCAAGCACGCTATAATATGACTCGAAACTCAAATGTAGACAATGCATGTCAGACGTTTGAATCCGGTCCCACGGAGCGTCAGAACGCCGAACTGGTGTTCCACTGAGGTGGTCCCAGAAATGGACGGGTGCTCGATACCAGCCCCGTTCGCACGCTCCGAGCACACGGCGCTCTTTGCGTGGGATCAGGCGCTTGGCCCAGACCATTTCACACGCTGGTCACCCTCAGCTCCTTGGCGCTCCATGGTGGTGCACTACGTCGACCGCACCAGGCTCCTCGACCCCTCTCCTCTGGGAGAGGTTGGGGATGAGGGAACTCGTGGCAAGCCAGGCGGTGTCAACGCACTGATGGGAGGGCAGGGTATTGGCGCACCCGGCCTTCGGCCACCCTCTCCAAAGGAAGAGTGAGTTGGGGACGGGTCGCACCGGCCTTCGGCCACCCTCTCCCAGAGGTGAGGGGTTAGCTTTTCGTCATCCGCGCGTTCGTGTAGCCTCCCCGTGGCCGAGGTCAGCCGAAGCGCTCCCGGACACGCACGCGGCCCCTTTGTCGGTAGATGCGCTGGACCGCCAATCGACCTACCTGGGGCTGAACCGTAGCGTGATGAACCGTGGGCGCGCGGCAGGTGACAATGTGCGCGAGGACGGACTCCTCCAACGATACGCTGGTCCACTGGAATAAGGACTCTCATGGCGAAATCTGCCAGTAGGATCAAGCCAGAACAGCAGATTCTCTCTCGCGGCTACTGACGCAGAGCGAGAAGGAGATTGCGAGGAAAAGGGTGTTGTCCTGGAAACAGGTGCTGGCAGACGCGATCGCGTGCTCGCGGCTGAAAGCTCCTGACAGTGATCCTGCCGCAGACAAACGACCCGACCTGTCCCTCGCTCGCGCCGCGGCCACCATGCACGTGTCCTCACACATGACACCCACGTGGACATACTCGCCGCCCGATTTCGTACCGATCAGCTAGGACCCCAGGAAGGCTAAGCGGGCGCGGCCAGATCGACCGATGGTAAAGCGCGGCGGGCTGGATGCGGTGTTTTCATCGTTACGTGGGCAGGGAGCGCAATGCGGCGGGCTATGCCCGCGCCATGGCCGACGCGTCACCAGTTCGCCGCCATCCGCCGCATGACGACGTGCAGTTACCCGGGAGACCATCGAGCTGGCGGCGCACGGCCGCGAGTGCGGCGCATCACGGCGAGGGCGGCGCGTGCGCTCATCGGCATCGAGAACGGCCATGCCCTCGGCGGGACCTGGACATCCTCAAGACGTACTACGACTTGGCGCGCGCTACCTGGGCTGACCCACAACGGCCCACAACGACCTGGGCGACTCCGCGGTGCCCATGTCCCGCCTCACAGGACCCGGCGGAGAGCACGGGGGCCTCACCGATTTCGGACGGCCGCGGTCGAGCGCGCCAACGAACTGGGCATCATGGTGGACGTCTCCCACTCAGCCATGACCACCGCCATGGACCCGGTATCGCGCGTCCGGTGCGCCGGTTGATGCTCGCTTACCACTCAGGTGCGCGGGGTCTACAACCCACCACCGCGCAAATCACCTGCGACCGACGAGGCGTGACGGCACTACGGACAACGCGGCGGCCGTGCAGATGGTGGCCTTCGACTACTACCTGCGGCCGGTCGCGCGGAGAGAGGCAGGCGGCGCCGCTACGCGGGCCCTGAGAGACAGAGATGGGAATCAAGGGGTTCGCCGATTTCGAACAACTGAGGCGACGAGAAGCGCGACACTACACCGCCCGCGAGATCGACTTCAAGTGGCCAAGGCGTCGGTGAAGGATGTTTGCCGACCACATCGACTACGCGGTCAACCTGCGTGGGCACTCGACCACGTAGGCATGGCGTCGGACTTCAACGGCGGCGCGGGCGACTCGCCGGCTGTGGACACGGCCCGCGACACCCGCTCAACGTCACCGTGGAGCTGTGCGGCGGGGGCTACACGGAAAGCCGGATGCCCAACTGTGGGGCGGCAACCTGCTTAGCGGTGATGGAGGCGGTGAGGGAGGCGGTGCGGCCCGGCGACAGGAGATAGGCGGAACGGCAGGCGGACACTGAGTCATTTTTCTTGGTTACCGGGACGACGAGAGTATAATTTTGGCGTATGTCTTTGGACTGAGCATGATGGTGACTGAGTTGTTCTGATGTCCTTAGATCAGCTTGAGAGCGCTGGGGCGCCGGAAGGGAAAGCCCGTGCAGCCGCTCACGCATGTCTGGAAGAGAGTCTGGCGACCAAGGCGATATTTCGCGACTGAGCGGGAACTGTTGAGTCGTGAGTGGGATGACGGGTCGGGATTGTCGCAGGTGTGATTTCTTTGCTGCTCAGTCGTTCTTCGAATAGAGGGCCTTCCGGACCCGACGGCAGGTCCGGCTCACAATCAGTCATATCCAGGCCAGCGTCGCAGTCGGAGCAACTCCCACACTGGGGCTCCACGATCCGTAGACCCGCCACGGGGCGCGATTCGAGAAGCGTCCCTGTGTCTCCGTCACACCAGGATGTCCGCCGCGCGTTGAGCGCTGCGGCGCTACCCATCGATCGGCAGGATCGGTGGCGGGCAGGTCGCCGGTGTCGATCGGCGCACGACGTCTGCGTGCTCACAACGAAACCGACCGCTTCGCTCACATGCGCCTCCGGTATGCCGAGCTTGTCAGCGAGAACCGCGCTGGAGTATCGTTTCGAGACCGTTTCGCCAACGAGAAGCTGGTGCTGCGCGAGCACGAGTTCCAGGATGTCATGACAGAACCCGCGAGTCGCGAAGGCCGCGACCAGGACATTGGTGTCCAGCAGGATCCTCACGAGACTTCGTCGAAGACATCCTCGTCGGTCAGCCAGCCATGCGCCTCGGCGAACGGCGCGACGCCGCGCCGCAGTTGTTCAAGCCGTCCGATCGCAAGTTGCCGGCGCACGGCTTCGCGCACGAAAGCGCTCTTGCCCGTGCCGGTGCGTGCCGCGGCATCGCGCAACTCCGCGTCCAAGCGGTCGTCGATGCGAATGGTCAAAGTCGCCATGTACTACAAAGTACTACAAGCGGCGTCTCGATACCAGCCTGTGTGGAAATGAGCCCGGCCGCGCGGAAAGCGTGACCACTCGGTCGGCGAGAAACACGGCCTCGTCGATTTGATGGGTGACGAATAACACGGTCTTGCCGGTCTCCTCCCAGATGCGCAGCAACTCGAGTTGCATGATTTCCCGTGTTTGTGCATCAAGCGAAGCGAACGGCTCGTCCATCAAGAGGATGTCGGGATCGACCGTCAACGCGCGCGCAAAGTTGACGCGCTGACGCATCCCACCCGAAAGCTGGTGGGGAAAATAGTTTTCGAAGCCGCCGAGCCCGACCAGATCAAGGAAATACCTTGCGCGCTCCTCGGCCTCGGGGCGGCTTACCTTACGTATCTCGAGGCCATAAACCGCGTTGCCGAGAACCGTTCGCCACGGCCAAAGCGAGTCCCGCTGAAAGACGAAGCTGATTTTCCCACCCGGACGCACAATGAGCTCGCCATCGATACGAATGCTGCCCTCGGTTGGCGTGATCAGGCGGTCGATAATTCTCAGGATTGTTGTCTTCCCCGATCCGCTCGCGCCGATGATCGAAACGAACTCGCCCGCGCCAACGTCGAAGGAGACGTCTTCCAGCACCTTCAGGTCTCCGCCCTCCGGGGCCGGGAAGAGATGTGTCACATGCTCTATCTGGAGTTTACTGATCATCCTTGCGGGATGCCCCGAACCGGTGTCATCGCGGTGTCAATTCGAAAAGGTCGGTGAAATTTCAACCCCGATACCAGGTTTGTCACCGGCAAAGGCCGTACCGTCCCTTATATCGAGCCCGTATGCGATATCGCGGCTCAATCGGAGCGACTCGCCCGCGTTGTCGCTGCGAAGTGACAAGGTCACATTGGGAGTGGCAGCGAAGCCGAGATGGAAACATGGACGAGATCGATGACGCACGGCCGAGCGTATGTGCGCGATCAGATTCGGGATACCCGCCGACTGGCAGAGATCGGCAATCTTCCTGGTGAAATGCAGGCCCCCCATCTTCGGCACCTTGAGACTGACGATATCGGCGGCCCCCTTCTCCAGGATCCGGCACGCATCGTCCAGGCTGTAGATCGATTCGTCTGCCTCGACCAAGGGTTTGACCGACCGGCGCACGAGTGCCAAACCATCAATATCGCCCACCGCGACGGGCTGCTCAAGAACGACGATATTCAGGTCGTGCAACCGATCAACGAGTGGAATGATCCCTTTCGGTGTATAGCCTGGTTGGCATCGAGAACGATGCCGCACTCCTTGCCGACGGCGTCGCTGACCGCCCGGATCCGGTCATCGTCGAGGGGGGACGCATCGACCTTGAGCTTGTAATGGCGGAAACCCTGTTGCCGCAGCTCGTGTGCCTCTTCCGCCATCTCGTCGGGAGATTTCAGCCCGATCATTCGAATGCACTCGATGCGGTCGCGCAACATGCCGCCCAGATAGCGACAGAGCGGTACGTCCGCGGCCTTTGACACGATATCATGAAGGGCATGTCGATGGCCGCCTTGGCGCGATAATTGAACACAAGGCGCTTGCCGATCTCTTCCATGATGAGCGGGAGTTCGTGAGGGTCCCGCCCCTCGAGAACGGGGAACATGACCTCGTTGATCACGCTCTCGATGGTCGCAACCGTCTCCCCGGCGATGAAGGCGTTCTCGTGAGCCCAGCCGATACCAAACGTATCGTCGTCCGTGCGGAGGGTGACGACCACTCCGCTGCATAGTCCGGACCCGCCGAGCGAGGTACCCACTTTTCCGACCATCTCGATATCGGCGCGCTTCAGTTCAACTGACTTGATTATCATGATCCGTTCTCACTCCACGAAAACACGAACTGAACTCTGCCGCGCGACACCGCCGCCTCAGCTCTTGGGCCCGAAGACCGGCAACAAGCAATCGGCCTCGTTCGATAACGAACCTCTACCGTCACGACCATCTGCCGACGAAACATCACCGGCTGCACAGCCCACGATGTTCAGTGCGCGAACATCGGCTTCCTCAAGCGCAATCAAAGCATAAACATAGGGTGAGATCGTCTTTGAAAGCCGGATCGAAGGCCCGAGGATGCACGTTGTATTAGAAGAAAAACCTTGCCGCGGCCCGACGCCTCGCGCCATTCGAGGCTGCGTAAAAAGGTCTGGTTGGCGTGATTGCGACAGTAGCCGCCGGCCAATACCCAGGTGCCGCACTACGGCATTGCATCAGGACAAACCGTCGATTCCGGACCGCGTCCAGAAGGGCTGTGTGTCCTCATCGATAGCGGGCTTCGGTAGGACGCAGACATGATGATCGGCTCCACTCGGCATAGTCTCAGTTGCTCAGGACATGCAGGCATGGTCGAGCACATCCCGGGCGAAAGGATCTCGCCACGTGTCCGTCACCACCCGATCTTGCGTTTTCTACCTGCGCTCTCCGGCTTCGCCGCGGAGCTGACATGATGGCCTCCGCGACTGAGTTTTGCTCGCCCAGATGATGAGCGGACAGGAGTCCACCGCTGTATTGATTGCGACCTTCGCCCCCCGGACCGATGCGCCCCCCCTCGACAAAGCACCACCCTCGCTTCTTGCACCCTCCAGTGACCTCTAGCTGAGAATAGCACCTCGCGGTATTTATAAAACACAATCATAGAGGCCCGCGAGGCCGGAAATCGACACCTTGAGTCGATCTCCCGCTTCACTGGAGGCGGTCTCCAGTGGACCGGTCTGTACGGCAGACACGTGAGTATGTAGTTGGCTTTGTCACCGCCAGAGACCGCCCCATGGCCTCTCCCACCCCGCGCGCGCACCGCAAACAGGGCATGGGTTTGCGTGCCAGTCCTTCGCGCCGCTCAGGGTAGTACGGACGATGGCGCAAACCACGTGTCGCTCACGACGCAAGACGACGTCTGGAAGATGTGTAGCGGCAGACGAGCGGTGGCGCGTCATGTGATTCGGGCAGCGTCAGCGGCCGATCCTATGGCACTGCGCATGCGTCGTATTGGCCCAACCGCGGATCGCCACGGAATCTCGCCGAACTGCTCCTTTTCGTGCGAACTCATGCATGTGGCGCGCGCAAAAAAGTGTGGTGACTCATCGCCGCCTAAATCGCCGAATGGCTCCCCCAATAGCCCGCTCTTTCGATGACTCCGATGCTGGTAATTTACCCGTTCGCCGCGCAAGTCGGGCTCCGCGAGTAATCCTTCGTTCCCGAGCGAGTACGACATAGTTGGCCCAGGCCGAGTTCGAGAAACTTGTAGCCGCCAGAATGCCGGACGATGCTAGCGGTGCCGCCACGGGCAAACTGGAAGAACATACGGCACGGCAGGCCGAGAAACGCGTGGGAAGGCATCGGTCGGGGACGGAACGTCTCCCGCAGCCGGGTGCGATGCTTGAGATCAATCGCCGCATCGGACGTTTCTTACCGTAAGGCCGCGTCCTCGATCGCGAGCCTGGCGGCCTCCGTCTGGAGCGTCCGAAAGCTTCGATACTCGAACCGGCCCGCAAGCAGCCCGACACCGACAATGGCAAAATTATCTTTGAGAGCGTCGGACATGATCCTTCCGCCAAACTTTCGGGTGCGTTTGCGGCCCCTTCCTGTTTACTCACGCTCTGGCTTGACAATCGCCGGCCACTATAGGGCGGGGAAGTCGCATTCATTTGACCTCGGATAGTGCTGTTGAACGCGGCTCGTCGCTCGGTGAGTGGTTCCTATTCGTCGTCATAGAAGGGGACGGGTGAAGTGGCGCGCCGCGCCGGCGCTAGCACATTCGGGAGGCATGGCGGAGACGACGGCTGATCGACGCTGCGTTACGCCTGAGTCGGGTGCATACGGTCGAGGGAATCTAACAGAACTGGTGAGACTGCTGGCGTAAAAAGCGGAAGCGATTTCGTTGCTTGCCCGCTATTTGCCCCAAGCGGGCGTATTCGGGGTTACCTCGACTCTTTGACGATTGGATGGCCGCCTCGTACTCACACAAGGACCAGCTTTGACACCCCTGCCATGCAGCAAGATAATTTCCTCGAGGCTATTCCGATCTTGCCCGACGCGGAGCACGCTTTGCGGTGCTTCGGCAAGCTTGCCCGATTACCGTGATCGAGAGACTGCCGCGAGGATTCCCCGCTCTGCCCGAGCTGCCGGAGAGGGTGAAGGACCATGCGCGCGTACTGACCGTGTCGGCAACCCGGGTCTCACGGAGGAACGGGTCTTCTCTCTCCGGCCTCGCGGCGTGTGGCTTTGGCACCCCGCCTCTCAAGGTTCTCAACCGCGGAGACATGCGCTCTCTGCGCACGAGCATTCCGCCACCCCTACATCGTCAAGATTTCGTCGGACCGGAATCCCTGCACCGGCGGCGCGTCGGAGGGGTCATCCGCCGACCTCGCTCGGCCGAGGAGGTCGCAGCCGGTGGGTGGCGCGTTCTTTGCCGATTTTGGTGACGACGCACGTCGCGGTTCGTCGAGACGATGGTCGCAAAGGACATCGAGGTCTTCTCGGGGCGCGGCGTACCGCGCCAGCGGTCTCGGCATCGTCTCGGACTGGCGGTACTTTTGTCGAGGATGTCGGTGTCGACAGCGTTGCGCCTCAGCCAGCTCGGGGTGGCGCGATGCCGAGGCACTGGTCCGCGAGTCACACGTCGCGTCCGCGCGGAGCGTCTCGCGGGCGACTCGGCCGCACCCTTGATCCAAGAGCTCAACGCGCTGATCCTGGCCTTCGACGGCCTGTGCCAGGTCTGGGCGGCGATCTTGTGGAGTTCGATATCAACCCGCTCGGCGTCGATCTGGAATCAAACAGATGTGGGCACTGGATTCGAAGATCGTTCTTGCAAGCGATGAGGGGAACGAGCATGAACCAGCCTGACACCGGGAGAGTCATGGCTCCGGGTCGTCTGGCCAACTTCCGACGCCAGAGCGCCGCCGGATGGTGCTTTCCATCCTGGTCTGATGATCGTGTGGGAGTGTGATGGCAAGATATGTCATCCAAAGCGATCTCATCTTCGCTTCGCTTACCGATATCGCCTGAACTTTTATGACATGGGCCGGAGCGGGGAGCTCTGGAAGCATGTCCGGATCAGCGCCCTCGAGTTCGTACTCGGGTATAGTGCGGCGGCGATCCTCGGAATTTTACTCGGAATTCTGCTCGCACTCCACGATCTTCGGCTCTGTATATCGAACCTTGGCTGGGTGCGCTCTACGCGACTCCGATGATCGCTCTTGCGCCGATCTTCATTGTCCTGCTGGGAATCGGTATTTACTCCAAGATCACCATTATCTTTATCGAGGCCTTCTTCCCGATCACGATCAACACCTGCCTCGGAATTCGATCAACCGAACGAGATCTGATCGATGCCGCGGAGTCGTTCGGGGCGACCCCACCCAGGTGTCCGTACCGTTTTGCTGCCGAATTCCTATCCATTCATTATCGCCGGAATGCGTATTGCAGTCGCCGTGCTCGCCGGGCGTGCTGATTTCAGAGATCTTCGGGTCGGAGGCGCGGCCATATGATCTGGTCTCGGCCGAAGAATACAACATGCCGAAGCTGTTCACCGGACCGTGTTCCTGCTTGCCGGTACGTCGGTCATCTGATGGCAAGCTTGGCGCGCTTCGAACGCAGAGTAGCACCGTGGCGGAACTAAACCTGCGCCTCTGAAGACCGCGTTGGGCGCGGAAAAACATGGCTTTTCGGACCGGGACTGGATATCGTTCACGCCCGCGACCAGTGGCAACCACCTCGTATCACCTGGGCGACTCCTATCAGGGAGCACTACTCCTGCAATAATGATATCCGGTCATCCCCCGACATTCACCGTCACGGCCGTTGAGCAGTTGTTCGTCGTGTCCGACTCTCCGGTCACCGTGTCCACGCAGGCGCCGTAGTACCAGGTCCCGGACGCCGGCGCGGTCAGCGAGATCGACTGGCTGCTGGTCCCCGCAGCGCTAGCGCGGGGATCGCGTCCAGTGCCTCCGACGTGTCCGACGGCCCGTGATCGTGTCGTCCGTCGAGCGGTAGTACCGCAGCGTCGTGGCCTCCGACGCATCGAACGCGCCCGTGTGCGCACCAGTCGCCGACAAGGTGAAGGCCCCTCCGGCCGCGGGGCTGCTGTCGCTCACCGTTGGCGAACCCACCACCAAGTCCACTCTAGGCCGAACCGTGACCATCACGGCCGTGGAGCAGTTGTTCGCCGTGGCCGACTCGCCGGTCACCGTGTCCACGCAGGCGCCGTAGTACCAGATCCCGGGGCTCGCCGGCGCGGTCAGCGAGATCGACAGGCGGTTGGTCCCCCCACCGTTAAGACCGGGGATCAGCAAGCCGTGCCCTCCGACGTGTCCGACGCGTGATCGCCGCGTCCGTCGACCGGTAGTACCGCAGCGTCGTGGCACTCCGAACAATCGAGTGCCCGTGTTGCTCACCGTCGCCGACAAGGTGAATCTCCCTGTGGACACGGGCTGTGTCGCCACCGTTGGCGAACTCACCACCAGGTCCGGTATATGCACAGGAGACCGAACCGTGACCATCACGGCCGTGGAGACACGTGTTCGCCGTGGCTGACTCGCCGGTCACCGTGTCACGCAGGCGCCGTAGTACCAGATCCGGGGCTCGCCGGCAGCGGTCAGCGCGATCGACAGGCTGTTGGTCCCCCCACCGTTAAGAGCGGGGATCGCAGCCGTGCCCTCCTCCGTGTCCGACGCCGTGATCGCCGCGTCCGTCGAGCGGTAGTACCGCAGCGTCGTGTCCTCCGAAAATCGAGTGCCCGTGTTGCTCACCGTCGCCGACAAGGTGAATCCTCCCTGTGGACACGGGGCTGTTGTCGCTCACCGTGGCGAACTCCCACCAGGTCCGGTATATGCACAGGAGACCGAACCGTGACCATCACGGCCGTGGAGCAGTGTTCGCCGTGGCCGACTCGCCGGTCACCGTGTCCACGCAGGGCGCCGTAGTACAGATACCCGGGGCTCGCCGGCGCGGTCAGCGCGATCGACAGGCTGTTGGTCCCCTCAGCGTTAAGACCGGGGATCGCAGCCGTGCCCTCCGACGTGTCCGACGCCGTGATCGGTCGTCCGTCGAGCGGTAGTACCGCAGCGTCGTGGCCTCCGAAAAATCGAGTGCCCGTGTTGCTCACCGTCGCCGACAAAGGTGAATCTCGCTGTGGACACGGGGCTGTTGTCGCTCACCGTTGGCGAACTCACCACCAGGTCCGGTATACGCGGAGGCAGAGGCTGAACCGTGACCATCACGGCCGTGGAGCAGTTGTTCGCCGTGGCCGACTCGCCGGTCACCGTGTCCACGCAGGCGCCGTAGTACCAGATCCGGGGCTCGCCGGCGCGGCCAGCGCGATCGACAGGCTGTTGGTCCCCCCAGCGTCAAGACCGGGGATCGTAGCCGTGCCCTCCTCCGTGTCCGACCGCGTGATCGCCGCGTCCGTCGAGCGGTAGTACCGCAGCGTCGTGGCCTCCGAAAATCGAGTGCCCGTGTTGCTCACCGTCGCCGACACGGTGAATCTCCTTGTGGACACGGGGCTGCTGTCGCTCACCGTTGGCGAACTCACCGCCAGGTCCGGCTTAGGCAGAGGCTGAACCGTGACCATCACGGACAAGGAGCAGTTGTTCGTCGTGGCCGACTCGCTGTCACCGTGTCCACGCAGGCGCTCGTAGTACCAGATCCGGGCTCGCCGGCGCAGGCCAGCGCGATCGACCGGCTGTTGGTCTTCCAGCGTAAGACCGGGGATCGCAGCCCTGCCCTCCTCCGTGTCCGACCGCGTGATCGCCGCGTCCGTCGAGCACGGTAGTACCGTAGCGTCGTGGCCGGCGAAAATCGATCGCCGTGTTGCTCACCATCGCCGACAAGGTGAATCTCCCTGTGGACACCGGGCTGTTGTCGCTCACCGTGGCGGACCCACCACCAGAGTCCGGATGAGTAACCGACGACTGCTGCGTCGGCAGCACCCTGATCCACACGAACGACGTACAGTTGTTCGTCGTGTCCATCTCAACCGGTCACGCGTTCACGCAGGCGTAGTAGTAGTAGATCCCGGGACTCGTCGGCCGCGGTCAGCGAGAGACCGACTGGTCGCATAGTCCCATCAATCAAAAGCTCGGGGACCGCATCCGTGCCTACCGACAGGCCCACCGGCGTGTCCGACCTCACGCGGTAGTACCGCAGCGTCGTGGACGGCGACGCTGCTGCTTCGCCCGTGTTGCTCACCGTCGCCGACAAGGTGAAGGCCGCTCCCGCCGCGGGGCTGCCCTCGCTCACCGTTGGCGAACCCACCACCAAGTCCGATCCTTCCAGAACCGTGACCGTCACGAACGGCGAACAGTTGTTCCGCCTGCTCGTCTCGTTGGGCACCGTTTTCGCGCAGGCGTAGTAGTAGTGGTCCCCGGGGCTCCGCGGCGCTATCTGCCGTTTCAACCGTACGATGCCCTCGTTAGCGGGAAGCGCGGGGACCGAATCCGTTCCCACCCACGTCGTGGCCGACGAGGAGTAGCTCCGAACCCCCGAGTGGTAGTACCGCAGCGCCGTGTACGGCGACGCTACATCGCCGTTGTTGCCCACCACCACCACCAAGATGAAGACCGCTCCGGCCGCGACGGTGCGTGGCTCAGTGTTGGCGCCCACCACCAGGTCCCATCTAGGACTGGATGACGGTACCGTGACCGTCACGGGCAAGGAGCAGTTGTTCGTCGTTTCCGACTCGCCGTTCACCGCGTCCACGCAGGCGCCGTAGTAGTAGATCCCAGGGTTCGACGGCGCGGTCACCGAGATCGATTCGCTGCTGGTCACCGTAGCGCCAAGCGCGGGGACCGCATCTGTGCCCACCGGCGTGTCCGACCTCGTGATCGTCGCGTCCCTCGAGCGGTAGTACCGCAGCGTCGTGGGCAGCGACGCTGCACTGCCCGTGTTGCTCACCGTCGCCGACAGCGTGAAACTCGCCCCCGGCTCGGGACTCGTGTCGCTCACCGTCGGCGTCCCGACCTCCAGGTCCGATCCACGACTCGTGACCGTCACGGGCAAGGAGCAGTTGTTCGTCGTTCCGACTCGCCGTTCACCGTGTCCACGCAGGCGCCGTAGTAGTAGATCCCGGGGTTCGACGGCGCGGTCACCGAGATCGACTCGTTGCTGCGCCCCGCGGCGGCAAGCGCGGGGACCACATCCGTGCCACCGGCGTGTCCGACCTCGTGATCGTCGCGTCCAGCGAGCGGTAGTACCGCAGCGTCGTGGACGGCGACGCTGCACCGCCCGTGTTGCTCACCGTCGCCGACAAGGTGAAGTCCGTTCCGGCCGCGGGCCTGCCGGGGCTCGCCGTTGGCGTACCCACCACCAGGTCCGGGAACCTCTGTATCTGCCTAGCCGTCAACAGTACCTTGATCTGCACGGCCGTCGAGCAGTTGTTGGCCGTATTCGACTCCCCCGCCACCGCGTCCACACACGCCCCGTAGTAATACGTCCCGGGCGCCGAGGGCGCGGCCATGTCCACCGTCCGGCTGTCGCTCACCGAAGCCGCAAGCCCTGACACCGCATCCGTCCCCACCGACGTGTCCGACATCGTGATCGTGGCGTCCGCCGACCGGAAGTAGCGCAGCGTCGTCGCCGCCGATTCCCCGTTGCCGTCGTTCGGTACCGTCGCCGACAGCGTGAAACTCGCCCCTGGAGCCGGGCGGTTGTCGCTCACCGTTGGCGACACCACCATCAGATCCGGATGGTCCGGCTCCCGCACCGTCACCTGCACGGAGGTGGGAGCAGTTGTTTGGCCGTGTCCGACTCGCCCGCAACCGATTCCACGCACGCCCCGTAGTAGTATGTTCCCGGCTCCGAGGGCGCGGCCGCGTCCACCGACTGCCTGTCGCTCCCGGACGGCGCAAGCCCTGCCACCGCGTCCGTCCCCACTTCCGTGTCCGATGTCGTGATGGTCGCGTCCGTGGACCGGAAGTAGCGCAGCGTCGTCGCCGCCGACTCCCCGTCGCCCTGGTTGCTCACCGTCGCCGACAGCGTGAACGCCCCACCCGTCTCCGGGCTGCTGTCGCTCACCGTTGGCGAACCCGCCACCAGGTCCGGTGAGGTTTGCGGCGTTTGGTCGAGCGTGGCGCTTCCCGTGTATTCCCCTCCCGCATTGCCTCCGGAGAACCTCACGCAGCAGGTCGCTCCCCCTGTCGAGGATGTCCTGCGTGATACGGCCGATCCAGCTTCCCGAAACTCCCGGCAACCTCGTCTCCCGCGCCATCGAAGACCGCGATGTCCGGATCCCCGTTTCCGGTTGTGCGGATCGTGAGCGTGCCCGGCGAATCGACCCGCAGGCGGAAGTAATCCACATCGTCCGCAGAATCGATCCGTCCCTGGAAACTCTCGCTCAGCTCAATAGCGGTGGCGCCCGCCGGCGTATTGGAATGGTCGGGCGTGCGGTTGTCCGTGGGCGGCATGATCGTCATCTCGCCCCCTCCCCGTGCGGGAACCGGTCGAGAACCACCACCACAACTCGCAAGTCCCGTGTATGCCACCGCTACCAGCGCCATGAACACGATCATCTTCAAGCTGAGTGAACGAGTACCCACTTTGCCGGCCTCCTTCGCTTCACGATCTCTGGGCGCGTCTGGAATCATCGAACCGTGACCTCCACGGACAGGGAGCAGTTGTTCGCCGTGTTCGACTCGCCGGCCACCGCGTCCACGCAGGCGCCGTAGTAGTAGGTTCCCGCTCTCGTCGGCGCGTACAGCGAGACCGTCAGTCTGCTGAACCCCCTCAGGTCAAGCGCGCGAACATAACGCCCGCCCACCCACGTATCCGACGTCGTGATCGTCGCGTCCGTCGAGCGGTAGTACCCCATCTTCGTGGACGGCGACGGTCCACGCCCGTGTTCCTCACCGGCGGCAAGAAATCGAAGGGGTTGCCGCGCGAGGGGTTGCTGGGGCTCACCGTTGGCGAAACTCACCACCAAGTCCGATTTAAGCAGAACCGTGACCCTCACGGACGAGGAGCAGTTGTTCGTCGTGCCCGACTCGCCGGTCACCGTGGCCACGCAGGCGCCGTAGTACCAGGTCCCGGCGCTCGCCGGCGCGGTCACCGAGCTCGACTGTCTGCTGGTCCCCGCAGCGGCAAGCGCGCCAACCGTAGTAGCCGTGCCCACCGACGTGTCCGACGTCGTGATCGTCGCGTCCGTCGAGCGGTAGTACCGTAGCGTCGTGGACACCGACGCTCCCCTGCCCAAGTTGATCACCGTCGCCGACAAGGTGAAACTCGCTCCGACCACGGGTCTGCCGGCGCTCACCGTAGGCGAACCCACCACCAGGTCCGGTCCGGAACTGGATGACAGAACCGTGACCCTCACGGACGGGAGCAGTTGTTCGTCGTGTCCGGCTCGTTCGCCACCGTGTCCACGCAGGCGCCGTAGTAGTAGATTCCGGGGCTCGACGGCGCGGTCACCGAGATCGACTGGCTGCTGGTCCCCGCAGGGGCAAGCGCGCCAACCGCGTCCGTGCCCTCCGACGTGTCCGACGTCGTGATCGTCGCGTCCGTCGAGCGGTAGTACCGCAGCATCGTGGACGCCGACGCTCCGTTGCCCGTGTTGCCCACCGTCGCCGACAAGGTGAAGGCCGTTCCGGCCACGGGGCTCCTGGCGCTCACCGTAGGCGAACCCACCACCAGTCCACTCTAGGCAGAACCGTGACCTTCACGTACGAAGAGCAGTTGTTCGTCGAGTCGAACTCGCCCGGCCCCGCGTCCACGCAGGCGCGGTAGTGGTAGGTCCCGGGTCTCGACAGCGCGAACAGCGAGATCGACACCCTCCTTGCCCCCCCAGGGTCAAGCGCGCCAACAGGTTGCCCGCCCACCATCTGGTCCCACGGCGCGCTCGTCAAGCGGTAGTACCGAATTTTTGTGGCCCCCGACTCTCGATCGCCCGTGTTCCTCAGCGTCACCGAGAAGGTGTATATCGTTCCGGCCACGGGGTTGCTGGGGCTCACCGTAGGCGAATCCACCACCCGGTCCGGTCCTAATGACACAGCCGTGACCCCCACGGACGAGGAGCAGTTGTTCTCCGTGTCCGACTCGCCGGCCACTGTGTCCACGCAGGCGCCGTAGTGGTAGGTCCCGAAGGTCAACGGCGTGGTCAGCGAGATCGACTCTTTGCTGGTCCCCGCAGCGCCAAGCGCGCCAACCGCACCCGTGGCCAACAGCGTGTCCGACGTCGTGATCGTCCTGTCCTTCGAGCGGTAGTACCGCAGCGTCGTGGACGGCAACGCTCCACCACCCGTGCTCCTCACCGTCACCGACAAGGTGAAGCTCGCTCCGCGCCCAGTTCTGTAGGCACTCGCCGTAGGCGAACCCACCACCAGGTCTGCAGGTAGAACCGTGACCCTCACGGAGGAGCAGTTGTTCTCCGTATCCGACTCGTCGGTCACCGCGTCGACGCAGGCGCCGTAGTAGTAGATATCGAGGGCCGACGGCGCGGTCAGCGAGATCGACTGGCTGCTGGTCCCCTCAGCGGCAAGCGCGCCAACCGCGGCCGTGCCCACCGGCGTGTCCGACGTCGTGATCGTCGCGTCCGTCGAGCGGTAGTACCGCAGCGTCGTGGACGGCGCCGCTCCACGGCCCGTGTTCCTCACCGTCGCCGACAAGGTGAAGGCCGTTCCAGGCGGCGGGCTGCCGGGGCTCGCCGTAGGTGAACCCACCACCAGGTCCGCTTTACGCAGAACCGTGACTTTCACGGACGGGGAGCAGTTGTTCCACTTGTCCGACTCGCCGTCCACCGGGATCACGCAGGCGCCGTAGTACCAGGTCCCGGGTCTCGACGGCGCGGGCGCCGAGACCGACCAACGGCTGGTCCCCTCAGCGGCAAGCGAGGGGACCGCGGCCGTGTCCAACCGCCAGCCCGACGGCGAAATTATCACATCATACGAGCGGTAGAACTGCAGCGTCGTGGACGGCGACGCTTGATCGCCCAAGTTGATCACCGTCGCCGACAAGGTGAAGCTCGCTCCGACCACGGTTTCGCCGACGCTCGCCGTTGGCGAACCCACCGCCAGGTCCGATCCAGGACTAAACGACGGAACCGTGACCGGCACGGACAAGGAGCAGTTGTTCACCGTGTCCGATTCGCCGGTCACCGCGTCCACGCAGGCGCCGTAGTAGTAGATTCCGGGGCCCGACGGCGCGGTCAGGCTCACCGACCCGCTGCCGCTCCCCGAAGCGGCCAGCCCGCTCAGTGCTGCTGTGTCCGACCTCTGTATCTTCGCTAGTGATTGAAATGTCCACGGACGGTAGAAACGCAGCGTCGTGGACGGCGACGCTGCACCGCCCGTGTTGCTCACCGTCGCCGACAGCGTGAACTCGCCCCCGGCTCGGGACTCGGGTCGCTCACCGTCGGCGTCCCCACCTCCAGGTCCGGGGACCTCTGTATCTGCCTAGCCGTCAACAGTACCGTGATCTCCACGGCTGTCGAGCAGTTGTTGGCCGTATTGGACTCTCCGACCACCGCGTCCACACACGCCCCGTAGTGGTACGTCCCGGGCGCCGAGGGCGCGGCCATGTCCACCGACTGCCTGTCGCTCCCCGAAGCCGCAAGCCCTGCCACCCGCGTCCGTCCCCACCTCCTTGTCCGCCATCGTGATCGTCGCGTCCGTCGAGCGGTAGTACCGCAGCGTCGTGGACGGCGACGCTGCACCGCCCGTGTTGCTCACCGTCGCCGACAGCGTGAAACTCGCCCCCGGCTCGGGACTCGGGTCGCTCGCCGTTGGCGTACCCACCACCAGGTCCGGGACCTCTGTATCTGCAGGTCCGGGACCTCTGTATCTGCCTAGCCGTCAAACACTACCTTGATCTGCACGGCTGTCGAGCAGTTGTTGGCCGTATTCGACTCCCCCGCCACCGCGTCCACACACGCCCCGTAGTGGTACGTCCCGGGCGCCGGGGCGCGGCCACGTCCACCGTCCGGCTGTCGCTCACACGAAGCCGCAAGCCCTGACACCGCATCGTCCCCACGACTTGTCCGACATCGTGATCGTCGCGTCCGTGGACCGGAAGTAGCGCAGCGTCGTCGCCGCCGATTCGCCGTTGCCGTCGTTCTGTACCGTCGCCGACAGGGTGAAACTCGCCCCTGGGGCCGGGCGGTTGTCGCTCACCGTTGGCGACACCACCGTCAGATCCGGATGGTCCGGCTCCCGCACCGTCACCTGCACGGAGGTGGAGCAGTTGTTGGCCGTATTGGACTCTCCGGCCACTGCGTCCACGCACGCCCCGTAGTGGTACGTCCCGGGCGCCGAGGGCGCGGCCATGTCCACCGTCCGGCTGTCGCTCACCGAAGCCGCAAGCCCTGACACCGCGTCCGTACCCACTTCCGTGTCCGACCTCGTGATCGTCCCGTCCGCCGACCGGTAGTAGCGCAGCGTCGTCGCCGCCGACTCCCCGTTGCCGTCGTTCCGCACCGTCGCCGACAGCGTGAAACTCGCCCCTGGGGCCGGACTGTTGTCGCTCACCGTTGGCGACACTACCGTCAGATCCGGATGCTCCGGCTCCCGCACCGTCACCTGCACGGAGGTGGAGCAGTTGTTGGCCGTATTGGACTCTCCGGTCACTGCGTCCACAGCACGCCCGTAGTGTACGTCCCGGGCGCCCAGGGCGCGGCCATGTCCACCGTCCGGCTGTCGCTCCCCGAAGCCGCAAGCCCTGCCACCGCGTCCGTCCCCACTTCCGTGTCCGATGTCGTGATGGTCGCTTCCGTCGACCGGAAGTAGCGTAGCGTCGTCGCTGCCGACTCCCCGTCGCCCTGGTTGCTCACCGTCGCGCCGACAGCGTGAACCCCCACCCTTCTCCGGGCTGCTGTCGGCTCAACGTTGGCGAACCCACCACCAGTTCCGGTGAGGTTTGCGGCGTTTGGTCGAGCGTGGCGTTTCCCGTGTCTCCCTCCCGCATTGCGCTCCGGAGAACCTCACGAACACGTCGCTCCTCCCCTGTCGAGGATTTCCTGCGTGATACGGCCGATCCAGCTTCCCGAAACTCTCTGCACCTCCTCTCCCGCGCCATCGAAGACCGCGATGTCCGGATCCGCGGTTCCGGTTGTGCGGATCGTGAGCGTGCCCGGCGAATCGACCCGCAGGCGGAAGTAATCCACATCGTCCGCAGAATCGATCCGTCCCTGGAAACTCTCGCTCAGCTCAATAGCGGTGGCGCCCGCCGGCGTATTGGAATGGTCGGGCGTGCGGTTGTCAGTGGGCGGCACGATCACCATCTCGCCCCCTCCGCTTGGGGGAACCGGTCGAGAACCACCACCACCACAACTCGCAAGTCCCGTGTATGCCAACGCTACCAGCGCCATGAATACGATCATCTTCATGCTGAGTGAACGAGTACTCACTTTGCCGGGCTCCTTCGCTTCACGATCTCGGAGGGTACGTGACGTGTCAGGATGCCGCGGTCACGGTGGCCATGAGGGACCGGGCTTCGTTGAGTCCGGCGTTCAGTGGGAGTTGGATGGTAATGGTGGCGCTGGAGCTTCCTGCGCGAATCGTCACCAGGATAGGCTCGTCAATATAGTCCACTCCCGGCACGGCAGGGTTGGCACCCGTGCCGGGTGCGAGCGTTACAACCAGATCCAGATCGCGAGACGTGACGGCCGAGAGGCGGACTTCGAGGCCGATCTGGTTACCAGTCTCCGCACTTTCCTGAAGAAACCGGACCGTGGCCGTGGAGACGAGGTCGCCACGCGCGCTCTCACGCCTCGCCACTTGGATCACGCCAACATTTTCCACCGGACTCCAAGCGTCGATGGAAGACGGTGTCGCGCCGCCACCGACAACGCCCATGCCCTCCCACAGCGGCGGCTTGCCCATGCCCCCCAAGGGCATCGAGAAGGCCAGACGAAGCTCACGGGTATCGCCGTGTGTCCCGAGCCCGTTCCACGCAACGCCGATGTTGAACCAAGGATGCGGACGCCATCCGACAGCCACGCGGCCCTTTGTCGACCAGCCGCCAAGACCGTCCTCCTCTTCCCATCGACCCATCGCCGTACTCATGGACAACGTGGTGGTGAGGTCCAGCTTCACACCAAGTTCCGCTCCGGCAAGTGCCCGTTCCTCGTACCCCATTTGCCCGGACCGCCAACCCGTCGTGGGTACAAACACGTTGAGCGACCCCCGTCCCCACTTGCCGCCATAGTCCGTGCCGGCAACCAGTCGCGTGTGTTGGGTACTCCCGACTCTGCTGGACAAAGGCCGATACCCCGAGAATGCCGGACGGCCCGTCTTCTTCGGACAGCCCCGAATCGACGAACCGCGCCGATACGAAAATCGTTTCGGCTCGACCCCTGGTCGTCGGTCCAGCGCGTAACGCCCTGCTGAAGAAAAAACGCGCTCGATTCAGGCGACGGGTGCCGGGTGGGTCGACGACGAGAATGGAAAGACGACGGTCCAATCCTCCGCTCAGTCCGTTCGCGGCTGGGGAGTAGCTCAGGCCATTGACGACACGAAAATGCTTCCCGAACATCGCCCGGCCATTCTCCGTCGCCAGGCGCGTCATTGCATCGAGCACGAGATCGTTCACCGACCAACCCGCCAAACATCGCGAGCCTTCCGATGCGCCGTCGCGCAGAGCCGTTGCACACCCCTGTACCCCTGACAACAATGAAACAGCGGGGCGATCAAATGCCTGCCACACGCTCGATTCGCCGGCCTCGGCAAGCGGGACGCCGAACACGAGGACCCCTGCAAGTGCCGCCACACGTGAAACACGCTCAATTGTCTTGGACAACAACGATGCCCTCCTTCCCGCCCGGTAGCGCCACGGCCGGTTTGCCGGGCCCTTGCCATCATCACGCCGACTGAAAAGACGGTTCTAGTTCGCGGAGTTACCGCTCACTGGAATCGGATTCTTGTATTTGCCCGAAGGCCCGACCGAGTAACCTTCGGGTCACGATCGCGGACGCTAACCTACAAAAGATATGACACGGTTGTCAAACTATTTCGAAGGTGAAGAACTTTGACTGGAGTGAATGATTGGATTGCGGACTACGCGCGAAAAAAGAACTAGCTGCGTTGTGAGAAACAGGAGTTTGAGGGGATTGAGGATGCTCACACTAGGGAAAGTCCCGCGCAACCTGTCCGACGAGGCGCTCTCGGCTCTACGGGACAACGGCTGGCGTGGCCCAGATGGTGGCCTTCGACTACTACCTGCGGAGTCTGTGTGGAAACGGGCCAGAAGAACGCGCACAGCCGGCAGTCAGGTCGACTCCGGCAATTCCCGGCCCGCGATCACCTGCGGGCGACGCGGGCCGGGAACCATGGGCGGGTGGCGGTCGGCTGTCAGCTCTTGCTGATCAGTTCTTTCATCTTCGTCAGCACCGACTTGGGCATGCTGAGCAGCTCGTTGACGATCTCCTGCACCTGCTCACCACGCTTCGGCTTGAGATCCATCCCCGCCTTCTTTGCCAGCTTCAGCAGGTCCGGATCCTTGTACGACTTCTCGTAGGCGTCGCGGAGCGCCTGAACGCGGTCCTTGGGCACTCCCGGCCCGAACGTCTGCACGATGCTGATGCGGTTCGTCGCGTTCAGCACCCGCAGCATGGCGATGTCACTCTCGCTCTTGCCCAACTCCTTGGCCAACAGTTCGGCGATCGGCACCCCCTTGGCGAGGCGGTGATCGATCTTCTGGTTGCCCCGCGATGATCATTACCTTGCAGCACTTCGCGTCGCCTTCGAACATGGCAATCTCGGTGCTCTTGACCGTCTGGAAAGTCGTGCAGAAACCGTTGACCTCACCATTCTTGACCGCCAGACGCTGGGCCCCGCCGCTCGGATACCCCGTGACGGCCTTTAAGTTGGAGCCGAAGACCGCATTGAAGATCACCGGCTCAAGGTGGGAAAGGCCGCCCTTGCTGAAGGCTGAAAACGTCAGCCGCTTCTTCGTCTTCACCGCTTCGCTGAAATTGTTCACACCCGCGTCGGTCCGTATGGCGCACATGGCCGCCGAGTCGAACGCGCTGGCGACCCACTGGAACTTTCGGGCGTCGAAGCGCACACCCCGTTCGCCGCGGGCCTGCTGGGCCACGAGCGCGCTGCTGATGGCCGCGAGCACGGTGCCGTCCTGCGGCTCATTGTTGTAGACGGTGTTGGCCGCCAGCATGCTGCCGCCGCCGGGCTTGTTCTGCACGATGATCCGGGGATTTCCGGGGATGTGGCGCGACAACACGTGCGAAATCAACCGGGAGTTGGTATCCGTGGCGCCCCCTGGACCTAGCCCGACGACAATGCGGAGGGTCTTGCCCTTGTAGAACTCGGCTACCGATTCGCCCCACACCGGACCCGCCAACAGCATGAACCCCGCTATCAGAACGAGAACTCGTTGAACCATCAGACACCTTCCTTTCTTTGGTTGGTGCGATTAACCCGCCTTTTGTCACTCGGTTGTCAAGACGCGGTGGGCCAAGGCGCACGTTTCAGGAGCAGACGGAAACGCGTCCGTCTTTCCCAAAGCGGGCAAACCTCACCGGAACAGGTTCAGAATCGGGTCCGTCAGGTAGGAATCGAAGGAGTAGATGCCCAGGGCGTCGGCGAGGAGGCCGGGAGGCAGGGGAAACGAAAGGGCCTGCTCCAGGCCGCCCCAGAAGAACAGGTAGACGCCAAGACTGTACAGGACGCTGGTGCCCCAGGGCTCGCGGGCCTGGAACCGGAGGAAAACCAGAGGGACGAGCACACCGCCGACCTTGAATCCCAGGAGCCACAGGCCCACCGCGAAAACCACGGCCCAGGCGGAGATCTCAAGGGTGCGCCGGCGCACCACGGCCGGATCCAGAGGAGGTCCGGCCTCCATCTCCGGCTCTTCCAGGGCCTGCCCGGGCCCGGCTGGCCGGAGCCCGAGCCACAGGCTGTAGCCGAGATGGATCGCCGCCAAGACCACCATCGGATAACCGATGATGAGGGGGAAGAACCGCGTGCGCGCCGGCCAGTCCTGCGCTTCCAACAGCGCCCAGGCGAGGAGCGTCACCAGCAGCACGCCGATCACGACGTCAGTCCGGTTCCGCACCGATCCCCTCCTTGGGCTTGGCGCGCTTCGCCATCCAGTCCTGCAGCCCCGGCAGGAAGATTACGACAAGGGCGATCCCGAAGGTCACCATGACGATGGGCCTCAAAAGGAACCAGAGCCCGTAGATCTCGTACGAGATGAACAGGTTCCGCTCCACCAGCGGCCCGAGCACCAGACCCAGCACCAGCGGCGGACGGGGCCAGCCGTGGTTCACCATGATCACGCCGGCAACCCCGAACGCCAGGGTGGTGGTCATGGCGAAGTAGGAGTTGGTGTTGGCGAAACCCGCCAGGTAGATGAGCATGAACAGCGCGGGAATCAGCAGCGACCCGCGTATCTGGGTGATCTTCGCCAAGTGATTCAGGAACAGCAGACACAACGCGACCGTGATGATGTTCGAGATGACGATGAGCCAGACGAACGAGAAGGTCAGAGCCAGATGCTCCGTCAACATCTTCGGCCCGGGTTGCAGCCCCTGTATGATGAAGGCGCCCAACAGGATGGCGGTGGTGGCGCTGCCGGGCACGCCGAAGGCCACGGTGGGGATCATGGCGGCGCCGATGCCCGAGTTGTTGGCCGCCCCGGGCCCCAGGGACGCCGCGGACGTCGCCCTTGCCGAAGCCGCTGCGGTCCCTGGAGCTCTGCACCGCGTGGGCGTAGGACACCCATTGGGACAGCGCGCCGCTAACGCCCGGCACCAGACCGAAGAAGGTGCCGATCAAACTACAGCGGACGGTGATGCCGATGTGGATGAAGGTATCCTTGACCCCCTGCCACACACCCCCCAGCTTGCCCACCTTGGCTTCGGCGATGCTGGAGCCCTTGATCCACAGCTCCACGATCTCCGGCACGGCGAACAGCCCCACGGCCGCGGCGATGAGGCCGAGGCCCTCCCAGAGATGCACCATGCCGAAGGTATAGCGCTCGATGTTCTCCTGGTAGTCCAGGCCGACGGTGGAAAGCACGAGCCCCAGTCCCCCGGCCAGCAGCCCCTTTAGCCTGTTGTTGCCGCTCAGAGCCGCGAGAAAGCAGATCCCCAGGATCGCCAGCGAGAAGAACTCCGGTGACTTGAAGGACAGCACCAGCGGCGTGACGATGGGAATGGCGGCAGCCAGGGAGAAGGCACCGACGATGGCGCCCACGAGAGAGCTCATGAGCGCCGCGCCCAGGGCGCGGCCGGCCTCGCCCTTCTTTGCCATGGGATGCCCGTCGATGATGGTGGCGGTGGACACCACCTCCCCGGGCACGCCGAACAGGATCGAGGTGATGTCACCGGTGGTGCCGGTGACCGCGTACATCCCGAGCAGGAAGGCGAACGCCTGCACCGGTTCCATGCTGAAGATGAACGGCAACATGAGGGCCACCGCGCCGGGGCTGCCGATGCCGGGCAGGATCCCGACAATGAACCCCAGGACAATGCCGATCATCATCAGCAGGAACGTGGTCTGGGTGAATACGGCCAGCAAACCTTCGATGAAAGCTTCGAACATGTTGTTACAGTGGCCGGAACGGCTGGTTCGTGATCTTCAGTTGCGAGTTTGGGGATTGCGGGTCCCGGCCCGAGACCGCCCTGCGGCGGACGCGAACCGAGCCCCGGAATCCACGGTTGATTACGACGGTACGCCGCCGGTCTTCAGCCCTTCTCGATAAGCGCCTTCAACCTGTCCATGATGGACTTGGGAGTGTTGAGCAAATCGTCGACGATCTGGGCCACGTTGTCGCCCCGCCTGGGTTGCAGATCGCGTTTCTGCTTCTCGGCCAGCGCCTTGACCTGCGGATCCGTGTACGCCTTGGCGAACGCATCGCGCATGGCCTCGACACGGTCCTTCGGCACGCCCGGCGGGAGCGTGTGGACGATGCTGATCTGGTTGGTGGCGTTCATCGCCCTCAGCATGGCCAGCTCATCAGCGCTCTTGCCCTGCTCCTTGGCCAATGCCTCAGCCGCGGGGACGCCCTTCAGCAGAGGGTGATCCTCCTTGGTCGCGCCCGCGATGATGAGGACCCGGCAACACTTCGCCGTACCCTCGAACATGGCGATCTCGGTGCTCTTGGCCGTCTGGAAAGTCGTGCAGAAACCGTTGACCTCACCGTTCTTCACCGCCAGACGCTGGGCGCCGCCGCTGGGATATCCGGTGACGGCCTTGAAGTTGCTGGCGAAGACGGCGTTGAAGATGATCGGCTCGAGATGGGAAAGGCCGCCCTTGTCGAAGCTCGACATGATGAGCTGCTTCTTGGTCTTCACCGCCTCGCTAAAGCTGCTCACGCCTGAATCCAACCGCACCGCGCACATGGAATTGGCCCGGAACGCGCTGGCGACCCAATTGAACTTTCTGCCATCGAACCTGATCCCCGCCACGCCGCGAGCCTCCTTCATCACCAGGCTGCTGCTGATGGCCGCCATCACGGTGCCGTCCCTGCGTTCGTTGTTGAACACCGTATTGGCCGCCAGCATGCTGCCGCCGCCCGACTTGTTCTGGACCACGATCCGGGGCCCCCCGGGAATGTACTTGTGCAGAACCGGCGCGATCAGCCGAGTGGTGAGGTCGGTGGTGCCGCCCGGCCCATAGCCGACGACAATGCGGATGGTCTTGCCCTTGTAGAAATCCGCCACCGCGTCAGCCCACGCCGGGCCTGCCAGAAGCAGCAACCCTGCTGTCAGAACGAGAACTCGTTTAACCATGCGATGCCTCCTCTTCGGGTTTGTTCGTGCGATCAGCCCATATTCGTGCGATTAACCGATTTTACGCCGGACATGTCAAGGACCCCCGTGGAAAAAACACCGGATAATCGCACGCTGCGCGAGTCCAATGTAACGCTATTCCCTGTAGGTCGGGTTAGCCGAAGGCGTAACCCGACGCCCCATTGCCCCTTAATCCGACCTACGAGCCTGTATCGGGCGGCAGCGCCGTGCGGGCACGGGCGGGTTTGAAACCCGCCCCTACATCGGACGTCCGGTTCCTGCGGCGCAGGCTCCTACGTCGGGCCAGCGACCGGGATGGCCGACCGCACGCCCAAGGCCACGTAACCGTCATTCCCGCGACCCTCCGTCATTCCCGCGAAAGCGGGAATCCAGGCGGGGCGGGCCGGAGAGGTCACGCCGTCTCTCACGACGCCCCCTCCTGCTCCTTCAACATTTCCAGCGCCTGCTCCACCAAGCGCCGCCGGAGCCGGCGCTCCTCATCCGCGTCAAGGGAGGGGTCCCCGAACACATGCGGAATCGCCCGTCCCGACAGGATCCGCTTGGCGCCGGTGTTTGCCGACACCGAAACGAGATTGGTCACGTGCACCGTGGGGATGCCGCCTCTTTCCAGTTCCTTTGCCATCGCTGCGCCGCAGCGAGTGCAGGTGCCTCAGGCAGAGGTGAGGATGACGCCGTCGACGCCGTCCTCCTCCAGTGACGCCGCGATGTCCCGGGCCATGCTGGCCGCGGTCTCGATGGGCGTGCCGTTGCCCGTGGTGGAATAGAAATACTCGTGCAGCGCGCCCAGGGATCCCTCGCGCACCGCGTCCCGCAGCACGTCCAGGGGGAATCAGGCGGTTGGGGTCTTCGTTCACCGCGCGCGGTGAAGAAGCCGCCGTGCACCGACTCGAACTCGTCCGCGGTGAGGTGCTCCTTGCTCTCCAGGCCGTAGGTGCCGAAGTGGGTGGACAGATACGACTTGATACCGTCGGGGTTGCCGCGGGGAACCAGGCCGCCGGTGGTGACCAGCGCGATCTTGGCGTGCCCGAGGTCGCGGATACCCGGCGCCGGCTCGACCTCCTCAAGGGCCGGCAGCGGAATCTCGGTTTCCATCGACGCCCGGCCAGCTTGGCCAGCAACAGGTCCACGGAGCGTTCCGCCGCGCGCCTGGATACCCGCGTGTTCCAACGGCCACCCCGGATCAGACCCTCCTCGCTGCCCGGAGCCACGGTCTCGCCGGTCAGGATCCTCGCGATCAGTCCGGCCGAGCGCTCGAGGGCGTCGCGCATATCGCCCGACGACTCCCCGGTCCGGACCACCGGGATCTCGCGCCGGATCGGGTCGGCACCGGGGTTGGACAGAGCCATGGCGGTCAGGACCGGGATCCCGAGCTCCGCGCCCGCCGCCCGGCACACCCCCGCGCACGCCAGCCCGTACCGGCCCGAGCCGAAGGCCGGCCCGGCGAACAGCAGGTCGGGCTTGGCCGCCGCAATCAGCTCCAGCAGCCGGGCCGTCGCCTCCTCCTCGTTCTCCGAGAAGTGATCGTCGCCGCAGTAGACCGTGGCGACGATGCCGGCACCCTCGCCGAGCAAGGATCTGCAACAGCCGCCCGGGCCAACCGCGCCTTCCAGCGTGCCGGGCGGCGTGCCCGCGCTCTCTTCGCCGCCCAGGCCGGCGAAGAACTGGTTCACGTAGTGGACGATGCGTTTCATGTTGCCTCCCCAGGGGAAGTTTGATCATTGCCGCCGAGCAAAATGGCGTCCTTCGACTTCGCGCCGCTGACGCGGCGCTACGCCTGTCCTGAGCTTGTCGAAGGGCTCAGGACGAACGGGTAGAGAAGGACCCCGATCGTCCTTCCACCTGTTGTCCATCATGTCCGTTCGTCTTCATGCCCGTTTGTCTTCGTCTCCGCTTATCTCCATCTCCGTTCGTCTCCATCTCCGTTCGTCCCTCTCCCGTTCGTCCTCATCTCCGTTCATCCTTGTCCGTTCATCCTTGTCTCCGTTCGTCCTTGTCTCCGTTCGTCCTGAGCGTAGCGCCGCGTCAGCGGCGCGAAGTCGAAGGACGCCATCTTGCCGAAAACCAAATGCCCTCGCATCTTCACAAGACTATCCATGGCGCAAAACCGCTACCCCGGCCGGGCCGTCAGCGTCGAGCCGCCGATGGGATCGATGGCGCCGATAACGTTCTGAACCGGGATCTCCACCGACCGGCCACTTCGCCCTCAATGGCTCCGAGGAACGCGTCGCCGCCGATGACCCGCTCCATGTCCTCGTCGAGGCGCACCTTTCCGGGCAGTTGCCGACGCTGACCATGGCGTCCGCCTGGGGCGCAACGTCCACCATCCCCGGGCCGTCGCCGCCGGACTCCTCCTTGGCCACCAGCACCGTGCGCAGGCCCACCTCCTCGCAGGCCCTGCAGGCCAGCATCAGGTCCACGTCCGCCTGGCCGCCGCCGTCCTTGGTGATGACCACGGCCTCGGCCTCCACCACGTGCCTGAGCAGGCGCGCCGCGTGAAAGGCCGTATCCGCCTTCTCCTCGTAGGTGGCGTGGTGGTTGGCCAGCACCATGCCCGCGAACACGAGGTCGTCGTTGTGCCGGCGGTGGAGCTCCCGGATCATCGGATGGTTCAGGATGTCGTGGGTGGCGTTCTTGGTGGGCTTGGTATAGCCGTCGTTCACCAGCGCCCCGTCCAGCAGCTCGTTGGGATGCACCACGCTGGCGACGATGTCCTTGGTGCTCTTGCCGTAGAACAGCTTCTGGCGGCCGATGCCGTGGGAATACGCGAAGCTCAGGTATCCGACGCGCGGCAGGTCCGGCGACGCGCCTCGTCCCAGGTCCAGGGAAAATACTTCGGTGCGGGCCGGCTCCACTGACTTCGTGGTCTCGGCCAGGAAGACCGCCGTCCGAAGGCCCGCGCGCATGAGCGCAAGGCCGAATTGACCGGGGTCGGAGCCCTCCCGCGGGATGGGCAGGACCACCAGACCGGGCATTTGCCCGAACCGGCTCAGCTCGCTGCCGCGGCCGCACATGTCGATGATGGCCTCCTCGGATCTGGGGAGGGAGCCGGACGTCACCACGGCCACGCCATCCAGCGCATGAGTTCGGCCCAGGCCGCACTGGTACAAGGGTCCAAGGCTGCCGGGAAACGGGCTGCCGCGCTCCCGGGTCCTTCCAGCGCGGCTCGACGATGTCCGCCACGTGGAGGACCCGAGTACGCTCTCCGGGCCTGACGATGCTCAGCTCCACGTCGTCGATGAGCGGCTCCGTCAGCAACTCGGCGCGCAGCGCCTCACGGTTGACAATGAGTTCGCCTTCCCGATATTCGGTGTTGGCGCCCCAGGAAAGGGACCGGACAGGGAAATGGGCCAGCTCGAAATCCACGCGACCTCCTCAGCCGGAATCGGCTCGTCCGTCGAAGGCAAACCCTGCATACCAAACCCGGCCCCGCAGTGCGAGCACCCGGCACGGCCGAGACCGTAGGTCGGATTAGCGAAGCGTAATCCGACATCCAAAAAGATCCGGCATGCCGGGACCGCAAGAACAACGAGTTGTCGGATTACGCTTCGCTAATCCGACCTACGGAACCACGGAACTTGGAGGGGTCATGAGAACAGGTGTGAGCGGCGGGCGGCGACGGTGACCGATCCGACCACGACCGACGAGGCTCCGCTGGAGCCCGATCTCGCCATCTGCGACCCGCACCACCACCTGTGGCGGCGCCCCAACAACCCGTACCTGCGCGACGATTTCCTGCGCGACGCCTCCGGCGGCCATCGCATCGTCTCCAGCGTGGCCGTGGAATGCGGCGCCATGTACCGCGAGAAAGGGCCGCCGGAGCTGCGGCCGGCGGGAGAGACGGAGTTTCTGGAGGGTATCGCGTCCGAGAATGCGCGTGCGGAGAACGCCACCGCGGTGGCGGCCGCCATCGTCGCCTACGGACCTGGCCCTGGGCGACGGCGTGGCCGGGGTCCTGGAAGCACACCGGGAGGCGAGCCCCACCCGGTTGCGCGGCATCCGGTATTCCACCATGTGGGACGCCTCGGACTCGTTCCGAAGCGTGCCCCGGCCCGGCCTGCTCCGGGACGCCGCAGTTCGCAAGGGCTTTGCATGCCTGCAACGCCACGGCCTGAGCTTCGACGCCTGGCTCTATCACCCGCAGATTGCGGAGCTGGTGGAGCAGTGGCGCTCGGGATTCTCTGCAAAGGATCGTTTCTTTCCACCAGTACCATCATTCTCGATCACATCGGCGGGCCCCTGGGGCTGGGACCCTACGAGGGCCGCCGCGACGAAGTATTCCAGGCCTGGAGCGCCGACATCACCGCCCTGTCCTCGTGCCCCAACGTCGTGCTCAAGCTGGGCGGCGTCGGATCTCTCCGCTCGGGCTACGACTGGCACCAGCGTACGCCCAAGCCCGGCTCCGCCGAGCTGGCCGAGGCCATGCGGCCGTACTTCGAATTCTGCATCGAGAAGTTCGGCGCCGGCCGCTGCATGTTCGAAAGCAATTTCCCGGTGGACCGGGTATCCTATACCTATGTATCCATCTGGAACGCTTCAAGACTCATGGCCGGGCTACTCGGAGACGGAGCGGCAGTGCAGCTGTTCCACGCACGGCGCCGCGTGTCGACTCGTGGTTGTGTCGCGCTGCGATATGTATGGCGTCCTTCGACTTTCGCTCGCTACGCATCAGGACGAACGGTTGGCTGGAATGTCTCTAGACTCCGGTCGTCCGGAGCCTTCGACCAAGCTCCGGACAGGCTTCGCGAAGCGCAGTCGAACAGGACGCCAGTCCGCAGACTCATCACTGAATCGGATACATGGAGGCATGCCTGATGAACAACGACACGTCCTGTACGAGTCAAGGAGCCACCACGCGTGGATCACGCTGAACCGGCACCGAGGCGATGAACGCATCACGAGGACAGTCCCGGAGCTGCGTCATGATGGACGCGATCTGCCTCCGGGCGCACGCGGACAAGCAGACATCAGGTGGTTGCTCTCTTCGGGGCCGCGGTGCAAAAGCGTTCTCCGTGGAGGCTGCGACATCAAGGAGCGTGGCCAGCGCAACACGCGAACGGAGAAGCATCGGTCTCTCCGCTGGAGGCCCGGCAGGCAAGGCAGGCTCCGGGCGTCCATTCGCCCATCGACGCCGCGGCCTTGGTGCAGAAGCCTACCATCGCGCTGTTGCACGGCTACGTTGTCGGAGCCGGCTTGTTGATCGCCATGGCCTGCGACATCCGCATCGCCGCGGAGAACGCCCGGATGGGCGTGACCGAGGTTCGGCTTGGCTTCATGCCGGCATCGGGCGGGACGCAACGACTCGCCCGCCTCGTGGGCGCCGCCAAGGCTCTGGAGATGTGCCTGTCCGGGGCGCTCGTGGACGCTCAGGAAGCGTACCGCATCGGACTCGTCAACAAGCTGGTACCCGCGGGCGAGCTGACGCGCGCCGGCGAGGAGATGGCGGATCCTTCGCCAAGGGCGCGCCACTGGCCCTGCGGTACATCAAGGAATCCGTCCGCAAGGGCGAGGGCCTGCCGCTGGACCAAGCGCTGCGCTTGGAGTCCGATCTCGCCGCGCTGGTCCTCACCACCGACGACTGCAAGGAAGGGCCGCGGGCCTTCGTCGAAAGCGCCCGCCGGTGTGGAAAGGCCGTTGATTGGTACTGCCTCAATAAATTGAGACAATACCCGGTGTTTATTCAAGACCACAGCTATGTTACATTAAAGCTACATCGTCCCAGGGGAGGGCAATCCAATGACCAAGAAACACAAGCCGCAAGCATTGTCGCGGCCTATTTCGGATCAGGACATCTTTGATCTCATCAACACTACGAACCAACAGTATCTGGAATGGCTGCCACGGATTTGGCCTGATGCCGATACAACGACCATCTCAAGCGACCCCAGCGTCGACCGTAGTAACCACCCTCTGGATATGATCTTCTATACTCATCGGACCACGATTGCCCTCCTGGAATGAACTGATCAATCAGTTTGAAAGCACACCTGACGCCGAGAAGTCTGCTTGGTTGAAGGACCAGATCAAACTCAATTTGAGTGAGGTGTCTCGCCTCCGTGGCGGCACGAATGTCATCTTCTACACGTCAGCATTCCTCCAGAAGAGAAACGTCCAGCCATCGTGGATCCAGCTTACCCTAGAGGAAATCAATGGGTTCATGTCTGTCATGCATGGCATGGATTTTGACAAGCCCCTGACGCTCATGCTGCATACCCCGGGTGGGGAGGTAAACGCCGCGCAATCGGTCGTGTCGTATCTTCGGTCCAAGTTTTCAGAGATTGAAGCCATCGTCCCGGTATACGCCTTTTCAGCAGGAACGATGATTTCCCTGGCCTCAGATCGAATTATAATGGGTCGCCAAAGCCAACTGGGTCCCATTGATCCACAGATGTCGCGGAACAATCAGGTACTTTCTGCAAGAGCCGTCGTAGATCAGTTCGAGCAAGCCAAGAAAGATATCGCGGGTGACCAAACCAAGGCGCTCTTGTGGGGACCGCTACTACAATCCATCGGACCTGCGCTGCTTCAAGAAGCGCAGAATGCGTTGGCGTACGGAGAGGAGATGGTCAAAGAATGGCTTGAACGGTACATGTTCCGCGAACAGTCGGACCGCAGCAAGTTGGCCACGAACGCCGCCAAGCACTTCAATGACGCCTCCTTACACAAGAGCCATGGACGCCGTATAGATCGAGCTGAAGCCCGTAGCGTAAACATCCACGTGGAAGATTTAGAGACAACCCAAGAACTCCAAGAAAGCGTGTTAACGGCCTACCATTCACTGACGATCTTGTTCGAAAAGAGTCCGGCGACGAAGATAATCTTAGTGCACCAGAAATGTTTGGGTCAAGAACGAGACCCTCCAACCTCCGTTGGGACAGACAGTTCCGTAACGCCTTAATCTTCGTGCTTCCTTAACAGTGCCAGCCTGCGCCCACCTCGAGCCTATTAGCGGAGTTCCCAGTCCGCGTGCTTCCTCTCTTCATCGGAAGCTCAAACTGAAGGTGGTGCCGTTGATTCGCAACCCGACTTCGGATACAGGCCCATAGTGAGGCCAATGACCGTCATCCGTTGACACACGAACAAGGAACCCGAAAATGCTGAGAATTGATGCGGACGCACACGTCCTGGAAACCGAAGAGACCTGGGAATTCATGGACGGCGCCGACCACAAGTACCGTCCCGAGATCGTCGGCACCCTCAACGGCTCCGGGGCCGTGGACGAGTACTGGCTGGTGGACGGCACGCTGCGGCTCAAGTCCCGCAACGTGGGCAAGGACACGCCGCTGGAATCACGCGAGCTGCGGGACGTGGCGGTGCGGCTCCGGCACATGGACGAGCTCAAGGTGGACATCCAGGTCATCTTTCCCACCATCTTCATCATCCCGCTGACGCCCCGGCCCGAGATCGAGCTGGCGTTGTGCCGCAGCTACAACCGCTGGATGGGAGAGTGCTGGAAACAGTCCGACAACCGCCTGCGCTGGGTGGCGATGGTGCCGCTGCTCGACACGGACCAGGTGTACGAGGAAGCCCGGCTGGCCAAGGAGAACGGCGCGGTGGGCATCTACATGCGCGGCTCCGAGGTGAGCGGCTGCTGAGCGACCGTCACTTCTATCCGGTGTACGACGCCGCCAGCAGGCTCGACATCCCGGCGTGCATCCACTCCTCCAACGGCAGCTCCGTGCTCTACGACTACTACAAGTACGAGACCGTGGGCTTCTCGAGGTTCAAGCTGGTGGTAGTCGGAGCGTTCCACACCATCATCATGGACAAGATCCCCGAGCGTTTTCCGCAGCTCAAGATGGCGTTCCTGGAGGTGGGCTCCCAGTGGCTGCCCTACGCCATGAGCGACCTGTACAAGCGCCACCACATGACGGGCAAGGACTTCAACAAGAAGGAACTGCTGGCCCAGAATCGGATCTGGGTCGGTTGCGAGACCAACGACGACCTGCCCTACGTCATCGACACCGCCGGCGAAGACCACCTGGTGGTGGGCACCGACTACGGCCACGCCGACAGCGCCACCGAGCTACTGGCCCTGGACGGGGTCGCGACGACCCGCGCTGAGCCCGGAGGTGCCGCCAAGATCACCGGCGGGAACGCGCGGGCGCTGTACAACCTTTGAGCTCGGATTGGAGCGAACGGGGCTCCCCCTGCCGCTAGTGTCCTGCGTCACAAATACGCTTATGAAGATGCGAGGGCACTTTTGGTGTCGCAAGGCTCGAGACTTGTAGCGACGCGCGGTCGCCCTTCAGGGCCATACCACGCGAGGAAAGACAACGCAGCCGCGGCAACAAAGACCCGCAGATCTATAAACGCTATTGTGACGCAGGACACTAGGGTAGGCGCTGCGGCTGGAATCCGACCTCGCCGCCTTGGTGCTTACCGCCGAGGACACCAAGGAAGGGCCGCGCGCCTTCGTCAAGAAGCGCCCGCCGGCTTGGAAGGGGCGTTGATTCGTTCCCGGACTTCGGATAGAGCATACGGATATCAGGCCGAGGACCGGCCTGTTTCAATGCAATCCCGCAAGCGGAGGTAACCGAAATGCTCAGAATCGATGCGGACGCACACGTTCTCGAAACCGAGGAGACCTGGGAGTTCTTGGACGGCGCCGACCGCAAATACCGGCCCGAAATCGTCGGCTCCACCAACGGCTCCGGGGCCGGGGACGAGTACTGGCTGGTGGACGGAACCCTGCGCCTCAAGACCCGCAACGTGGGCAAAGACACGCCGCTGGAGTCCCGCGAACTGCGCGACGTGGCCGTGCGGCTCAAGCACATGGACGAGCTCAAGGTGGACATCCAGGTCATCTTTCCCACCATTTTCATCATCCCGCTGACGCCCCGGCCCGAGATCGAGCTGGCGCTGTGCCGCAGCTACAACCGCTGGATGGGAGAATGCTGGAAACAGTCCGACAACCGCCTGCGCTGGGTGGCGGTGGTGCCGCTCCTCAGCCCGGACCAGGTGTACGAGGAAGCCCGGCTGGCCAAGGAGAACGGCGCGGTAGGCATCTACATGCGCGGCTCCGAGGGCGAACGGCTGCTGAACGATCCCTACTTCTATCCGGTGTACGACGCCGCCGGCAGGCTGGACATCCCGGTGTGCATCCACGCCTCCAACGGCAGCTCCGTGCTGTTCGACTACTACAAGTACGAGCCCGTGGCCTTCTCGAAGTTCAAGCTGGTAGTGGTGGGGGCGTTCCACACCATCGTCGCGGGCGGGATCCCCGAGCGATTCCCGCAACTCAAGATGGGGTTTACGTCTGGCAACAGTTCCCAATCAATGAGATGCGGAACCATCTCATCTCCGATGAGGCTTGGTATCAATGCTTTCTCCGCTTCGCATGACTGAAGAAGCCGTCCGTCTGGACGCTGAAGCACTTGGTATCGATGCGAGCATCATCGCAGGGCGCATTCGCAAGGAACAGGGCGACTACACAATCCTAAACAACCTTGTCGGCCAAGACCGTGTCCGCGGCCAACTCGCTGAAGTCGAAGATGATCTTGCGTGAAGACGTGTATGTACCTGCCTTGCGGTGGCGGCAAGGCGAGTACCAGGCTCTCCTTCGCCTCAAAGAACTGGTCAAAGCCAAGATCGTCCCACTGATCTCGATTCCCCACGTGGAGTTCGATTTCGAGTCTCGGCAGCTTAAGCGTACGATCCACGAACACGTCCTTCCATTTGTCCGCCGCTACAAAGAAAAATGGGGCAGGCGTCCGGCTTGGATCACGCTGGACGACTCAATCGCTGTTGGCCGTATGGATGACGGAAGTCATGTCTTCGACTACGTGTTTGACGGTCTCAGGTCCCACAACGCAACCGCCATCCCGGCCTTACCCTTGGGTGCCGACACAGACACCGTTCTAGCAGCCGCACGCGCCACCACCCGCGACCGCCAAGGCGCCGGCGTAACGATCCGACTCGAAGATCTCATGAAACCTGCGGCCGGAACGAAAATATTGGCTCTGGCCAATGGGCTCGCCGTTCCACCCGGGAGTTGGACCTGATCGTCGATCTGCGTGCGCCAAACTTTCAGCCCTATGACACGTTTGCAAACGCACTGGTCGTGGCGATCCGGCGTTTGGGCGACATCGACGCCTTCAGGAACTTCGTGCTCCTTAGCACGGCTGTTCCCGAGACATTCAGAAACATTGCTATGGGCTCCGACGAAATCCCGCGCCATGATTGGCTCTTCTTTCGAGCCCTGCTACGCAGACTCCCAGCGGAAATGCGCCGACCAATCTATGGCGACTACACGACTGTCCATCCTGACTTCACAGCTATAGACATGCGGATGATTAAACCAGCCGGCAAGGTCATCTACACGGCCTCTAAGACCTGGGCTATCAAACCCGCAAAGGAGGTGCGTTCCGGGACATCCCGCGCAAAT